CCCAATCCCAGGAAGACCAAGGAGTGGGCAGCTTCTTCCTCACATGGGCAGCTACCTGGATGTGTGGCCGAGCTTTCTTACACCGGTGGCCGTTAGGTGCCTTGGAGTCGGCTCTGGCTCAGAGACCCTGCGCACCGCAGAACCGAACGCCGCCCGACCTGCCGAGGGCCCTCCTCTCCTTTGTGCTGCCCTCTTTGTGCTAAGCACGGTGGCCTTCTCTGGGGCTGGTCTTTCCTGGCAGCACGTCCCAAGTCCATGAGCAGCAGCCTCGTCTGAGGCGCTTGTCAGATGCCTTCACTAGCACGATCCACATGCGCCCCTAAGGGGCACCCCTGCTTTGCCACACTTCACAGAGGTCCTGGGCAGCAGATTCACCCAGTGGAACGTGTCCTTTGATCTGTTGCTTCCATGAGCACTGATTGTAGATCATAAGCACTACGTCACTGCGTCATGTTAGAAATGCTTTACTGTACGTGTAAGTAGTTCTTTAATCTGTTTAATGCACATAGAGGCGTACTAGACAGTTCACTACAGCATGTTTTTGACTGACGCTAGTTATGAACTGTACCGAATTATTTAGGCTTTCCTGCAAACTCAAAGACAGAACCAGGCACAAAACTAGTTTCTAATCCAGGAACTGTCTGAAATTCATATACCATATAATTCACCCCCTTGAGCAGTATAATTTAAGGATTTTTAGTATAGGTAACCCTAGCATAATTTAAATGACCTCTTCAAATCATAAAAATAAGACTACATATAATTTGAAATAACTAATACCATCAGTATTACGCATCTAGGAACATATAATTACCAAAGCGAACTGTTATGCGTTACATGAAAAAGTCATTTTAAATGGCTTCTGTTTTAAGATAATAATGATTCAATTTTAAAAATATTGATTGTGAACAAAAATCTGCTTGTGAGAATGGCGGACTTGTAGAGAGGTTGGTTTTGTTAGAATCCTGTTAGCTATAGATCGGAATTACATGTAGTATGCCCAGGGAAACCAGACAGCCCACACGCGCTGCCATCGAGGCAGCACCGACTCACAGCGAGCCGAGGGGCAGACTGTGGGGCAGTCTACAGAAGCAGAAAGCCGGCGGGTGGTTTGAATGCTGGCCTTCTGGATCGCAGCCCAAAACGTAACCACTGTGCCACCCAGGTGCCTCAGCATGCCAGCAAGACTCACCAAAGTATCCTCTCGCGACAGGGATCAATGCCACATTGTCTTGATTCAGTCTTTTGAATTCCAATTCACTAAACAACCCACGCTGACTGCGCACCTTTGCTCCAAAGAATTAAGGTGGCGCGGCAGCAGCCACAGCAGCAGAAGGGCCCGAGGAAGTTCACAGGCTGCTCAGCTCCCATTCGAGCATTGTAAATGATTTCCCATAATCCCACAGGAATGGTTTCAGTTACGAAGGCAAAGGCACAGCGCTGGGGTGTAGTTCAAATTAAAAAGTGCAAATCAAACAGCATTAAAAAAATACAGTTGATCCAATAACTAGCTAGTTATTGTCACCTGCTCTATAGCTTATAGTCTTCTAAAGTGATAAACCCAAGGAAACCATTCACATTAATCTTACAGGGAAAATCTTAACTGCTTACCTTAATTAGTAACTGAGAAATACTTACCTCTGAAATGACAGCGTATTTATATCAGATACAAAAAGACTTTTATGTGAAACAGTTCCCCAAGTATAGCTACTTACTTGCCCGCTGGTCCCTTGTGGGAACTCTTTCGAGGCCTGCAGTGTCTGGAATTTGATGTTCCACACTGAGAGGCAGTCTGTAAAGAGGACGTACACTCAGTCCCGGCGTAAACACTCGCTGCTCTGAAGCAGTGGTCACAGGAAAGCCCCTATGCATCGCATTGCTAGGAACAGAAACCAGCACGGAAGGAGCCGAGAGCTCGCTGCAGGCTGAAGGGCTCAGGAAAGGTTGTAGGGAACATGTGCTCTGAGCAGAGGCCTGACCTAATGGAGGGCTAGTGGGCAATGCCAGGGAAGGGATGAAACACATTAGGGGCCGTCCATGCAACAAAAAGGAAGAGTACGTTGGCGTGAAGAGACCGTCGAGGTATTAAGTGAAAAATAATGCGCGCCAATGTGTATATGGTATGTGAGTATTTGTGGAGAGGGAATACGTACATAACTATCTTGTGCACAAGAAACTAGTCTGTCTGGGTCTGGAAGGTCCGCTAGATCCTGTGCACCCTGTTGCCATGTGAACTACGACGGCCCAGCATCAAGCATCCCAGCCACTTGCAAGCCACCGCAGCGCAACAAATCGAGATTCCAGCAACTACAAACATCAACTTGACAAGCAAAGGCATGACAGGGCAGGGCTCATGGGGGGGGTTGAAAGCCTCACGGTCAACTTGCTTGACTCAGTCACGTAACTTTATGTGCCTCAGTTCCCCGATTTGCAAAGGACATTAACTACATCCTCTCAGAGGGCCGTGGGGAGAATTAAACAATACAAAAGCTAATAAAAGTAAAACACCTGGTACAGGACGGCTTGGTGGCTAACCAAAGGGGTTAGTTTGAGCCTACCTACAGGCACGAGGAAGAAAGGCCTGGTGACCCAATTAAGAAACAAAACAAAACAACAGCTACTGCAAATCTCATGGAACACACAGTCTTTGTGCTGACACACATGGGTCGCCAGGAGTCCCGGCGGGCCAGGTGTGGCTGTTCCCCTGGATGGTGAAATGGCTCCATGGTAAGAGACAGTTCAGGAGTTGAGAACGTGTGCATTGGAATACCGTGGGCAGGGCTGCCTTCGCTTCCCAGTTTCCCACCACTCTCCTTTGTGGAAAATACCTGTGCTTTCAAGTTCTTGGATAAAGTCCCTTGAAAAAAATCTTGCCTGACCAAAAAAAAAAAAAAAGAAAGAAAGAAAAAAGAAAAGAGCTTCATTCCCACTGTGCAGTGTCAGAACCTGGAGTTCACGAATGGTCTCATAAGGCCTGGAGGGAGCAGAGGCTGAAAAGGCAGGTGGAAGCTAGACCTTGGGGGTGGGGGGGGGGTGGGAGGCAGGCAAATGCCACACAGATTCTGAACTCGACGTGTAGGCATGCCTGAACGTGTTCTCTGTGATGTAGCACGAGTCTGTGAGTGCGTGTGTGGCGGCGGTGAAAGCCGTGCTCAGAAGTCAGAGAGGAGAAGCACACCAGTGGCCCTGGCACCTCCCGCAGTCCAGGCCCAGGCGCTTTACACACTGTGACAGGCCACCAAGCTGTGAATCCCACCCTTTGCTGCGAGGCCTGCATTCCAACTGCCTATGGGATGGCACAGGTTCTGAAGAAGGTTTCACAGCGATCAATGTATCCAAGACGAAGTCAAAGGCCCAGTGAGGACCAGGTGGGAAGCACTGGGAAGAATTCAAGTACAGCAGAAAGAGACTGCACCAGAGCGGCAACAGAGAGCCGAGAACCCGGAAAGCAGCACTCTGAAGGGGGAGTCCCACAGGCTTCCAAACTGCCCGTATGCCTTACCTTTGCCGCCTGACAGCGGTGTTCCCAGGACTGCCAGGTGATCTCGGTCCAGGATGCTGAGGGCAACGCCACTCTGAGCTTTCTCAGACACGATGCCCTTGATCACCAGCGACCTGACTGCCACCTGGTCTTTTCCCGGATCACTTGGATGTGTTGGTAGCAGGGTTTCATATATACACCCATCGGAGCCTGTTGGAAACAAGTATTACAAAAGATAGTTCTCTATTTGGAGTTATACCCACTAGTTTTAAAATATAATTACCAAGCGGTATGTTCTGAAACTGATCATGGTGCTGATTGCACAACTCTTCTTAATACAACCAAACGATTTAAATTATGATATGTGAAGTATATGCCACTAAAACTTAAAAAAAGTTCACAGTTGCTAAAAAAAATAACCTCGAAGAACCAATCTTACCAAAGTGATAAAAGATTAAGACAAAAGTTACCCCCATGCCAACATCCCTTAAAGACTATACGACAAACTTGCAATTGAGAGGGGTGTTGGTGATAAAATCTCAGCACGGGATGTCGTAATAGCCAGGAAGTTAAACCCCGACATCCCTGGAGTGTGCCAGTGTGAGCAGAAATCAGACATGAAAACACGCCCTTCAGCAGGTACAACTTCGCGTTTTCTGTGTTACGGTTCTTGAGACTCCATCGCACCGAAGGTCACGTGTCATGGCTGCACTTGGGCAGATTTGTGTGAAGATCGACAGGTCCCTTTGGTTCCGACTCCTTTACAAAAGGCCCATGAAGCCCAGACATAACCAACACTGTCATGCCGTCCATTCCGACTCTGAGCAGCACAGGGAGAACAGAACGGAGCGGATCTGTCCCTCAGGGTTGCCAAGACTAGATCCCTTCAGGAGCAGCCTCACCTTCCTTTCACAGAGCAGTGGGTAGGCTCGAACGGCCCACTCGGCAACTGACCGCCCCGTGCTTAACCCAGTGCTTAACCCACCGCATCACTTGGGATCTTAGAACAGCCTGCGACCTTCCACTCCATAATGAACGTGCACGACTGGTCACGGGTAGAGAGCTGGTCTTCCTAAGCAAAGGCCAAAGTGCCTGCCTAAGGCCTCTTCCGCAAGAACTTTAACTGTGACGATGTGGAACTGTCCCCACCCCTTTGTGACTTTACAACAAAAGAAGTCAGAAAAGGGGACACAAAAAGGCTTTTCTCCAAACCCTTAAGGCTTCAGCCTGGGGTCTAGACCATCCATCGGGTCTGAGGCAGTATAAACACCGGCACGGTGCCAGCTGGCTCAGGCCAAGGTGGCTGTCCTTCTCTTGGCACGTCTGTCTAGTCCCGTAGAAAGGCACACCCAATGTTAGGGCCACCTCAGAGCTTTCAGGTCCCACTGACTATGCCAACAAGGGAGCGGGCTTTATGGTGAGCATTCCCGTGTGCGGTGCGGTGGCGGTATGTTTTATGAACGGTGCTGACAGCTTCCGGTAAACGCTCCTTAGGGGCAAGGAGGCAGGACTCACATACTTCAGACATGTCAGGAGAGAGCAGTCCCTGGGGATGGACATCACGCTTGGTCAAGTAGAGGGGCGGTGAAAGAGAGGAAGACGCTCAACAAGAGGGCCTGACACCGTGGCTGCACCTAAGAGTACTGGCGAGGGTGGCGCAGGCCCGGGTGGGGCTCTGTTCTGTTGTCTGTAAGACCGCGGCGCGGGGCAGGACGGACTCAAAGGCACCCAATACGGCAAACTGTCGGGACAGCAGAGAAAACAGGCCAACCCAAGGGTCTAAGTCAGAGTACCTGACACCTTTCAGCACGAGGGGCTAGACAGCCCGTGAAAAGTTCCCGTACCCTTTACTTCCATTTTTTCTATGGTGTGTTGGATACACCCTCCTGTTTCTTTATATACAAGCCCTGAAAATTGACGAGGGGGAAAAAAAACCATCTTACTGAATGTGATCAGAGAGATGCGCTTCCGATCCACAGAGGCTGCGAAGCTCTGCAGCACAGACCTGTCTTCGCGGCCAAGTGCGAGCGTGTACTTGCTGGAGGCCCCAGAGGAGAGCACGTGCACATACGCAGAGTAGGCTCCATGCTGCGGGAACAGAGCAGAGGTGCCTGTGTATGTCAACAAGCAACTTACACAGCTAAAACCAGTTGCTGCCTCATTCTGTGACCCCACTGACTTCCTCAAATTCTGCTGACGACAAGCTAAAACATCGGCCGTAGACACACACAGAATTTCTCATACGGAAACAAAAAAGACGGGGGAAAATCTGAGAGAAACACTAGTCTTAAATACTGTGATTTTAATAGTGCAGGAACAGAAGATACTTACTTTTTCAGTAATGAAAAGTAAAATCGGGTGCTTAAATACCATGAAGATCTTGGTCCATCTGAAAACCATAAAAATAAAATTATAAAAATACAAAACCACCAGTTGGGAAAAACATAGTGTTAATTGGCATTTAGGAGAGTATCTTTAGTAACCTTTTTTTTTTTTAAAGAGTTGGAGAGATGTTGAGCTGCTAACCACAAGGTTAGCAGTTCAAAGCCATGGCCATTCCATGGGAGAAAGACACGGCTTTCCACTCCTGTAAAGATGCAATCTCAGAAACGCACAGAGGCAGTTCTACCCTGTCCTACAGGGGCACTGAGTCAGAATTAACTTGATAATAATGAGTGTGCGTTTTCTGAGAAGAGCCATCTCAGAAAACACTGTGCCTGCTGCTTCTCACACTATATTCCACAGGGAATTACCGTATATTTTTGAGTAGAAGCCGGCCCGAGTATCAGCTGAGGCACCCAATTGTACCACAAAAACTGCATTAAAAAAGTGCTGAAACACTCAGCTTATACACGAGTATATACGGTAGGTCTTTCTCTGCCAGACATGCTGCTGATTAACAGTAGAACTTTCCAGAGGCTTGAAGTCGGTAACGTTTGTTGCACAGTTCCAAGACGGGAATGAACAACACACAGCGCTTCTGAAACGCACTCGCCACGCCGCCCGTTCTCACAGTTGCCTTTGGGACTAGTGCTCGGAGGGAGACAGGACGCTCGCCTTCCGCTGCCTTCTCCACGTGACAGAGGGAACCGAGGCTCAGGCAGTGAAAAGGCCCACAGTCCAAGCCGCAAGTCTGTAGCAGGGCGCCGTGGAAACCCAGACTTGTTATTGTGGCCCGGCCCACTCACAACCGCCCGCCCCACCATGCCACATCCATCCCGGGCATGCATTGGTTGGTGCGAGCTATACTCGGCCTTCACCTACGTTGTTCCCGCCCAACTGCAAGTCCTCCCTCCGGCTTAACTTTCCTTCCATCCTCCAAGTAGTCGCCTTCCCAGTTCTACCCCAGATGCCTCCAGACCTCCCTAAGAACATGTTTCTTTAGGGGAAATACTTGTGAGCTTGGCCGGCAAAGCAATGGGGCAGGAACACTGAGATGTTGGACTCGGGGGACTGCCCACTTTGAATTCAAGTAGCATTGACGACCTAAATGTCAAGCATGGGGGCAGGACTCAGCTGACCCCGAAGACCTCCTCAATCACGCCCCCCCACCCTCCCACCCCCCCCACCCCCGGCTCTGGGGAGACGTTATTTTGGCCAATGTCTTCTAAGCGGTTTCTAGTTCTGTCACTTTGGACAAACTTTTGAGACAAAACACTGAGAACAAGACTGAGGCTGATATACAAGATGCAGTGAGCGAGTGTGCTGGCGGAGACCCACCGCAGGGGCCCTTACTTGATGGCCTCCTCGTCGGAGATCACAGCTTCGACTTCCTGCTGCGGCTCTGCAAGCAAGGCCTCCACGCCGCGGACCGCCCCTCTCTTGAACAGCACGAGCGGTTCCGTCCCGTGTACGGAATGGATCCGGAACACCTCAGCTGCCAACTGAGAGAGCGTGAGCACATCAAAATGGGTAGTCCAAAACAGTCATCGCCCATAAAATGAGAACAAGGACACTGTGGAAGATTTAGCCCACTAATTTGTTTTCATTTTGATATAATTTGGCATTGCAATTATATATAATTCTAACATCAAGTCAACAAAATAACACATTTACAAGTCTAACTTCTGCTCCTTCTCCCCTCTACTCTGTGCCACGCCTTCTCTGACACTAAGCCATCTTTATTAATTTTTGGTTTATCCTTCCCTGTGTTTCCCTCTAAAAAACAACTATTTATCTGTATACTATTTCAAAAATAGCACACCAGATACACTTTTTAAAAACAGTTTTTCACTTAACAACTTATGTTGGAGATCTTTATAGCAGCCCATGTACCTTCCTCATCACAGGTCTGATTTTTTAAGATATTAGACAGACTTTTTATGGTGTTTACAATTTTTTGAATTGAAACAAAGAGAGGATGATTTTTAAAATAATGATTTTACAGTAGTGACCAACAGCCAGAGCTATGGGTTTGCATCGAGAACAATTCTCCCAGAAATGACAAGGATTAGTCCGTTTTTGTCAGATTCTGACGCTCACTAAGTAAAACCACCACCACCACCACCACCACCCTCAGCTGACGAAAATACCGAAAATTCTAAGCACCTCTAAGGGCAGCAGACTTCAAACTCATTCACTATTCTCCAGGCAAGCAATGCACACCATGTGTTTTGTGCAAAACCTCGCACGGTAGTTTCCTACGTGTGTGTGCAAATTATTTGTGTGCATGGCACACGTGAAAAAGCACAGCACACTGCCTATGGTAAGTGCTTGATGCAGAGCACCACCACTGCCCCATCACAGCTACCAGTGTCAATGTGGCTCACGACAGCCCCATGTGGTTCAGAGCAGAACTGCATGGCCACCCGAAGCGCCATCTTTCGGAATTCAGATTGCCAGGTCTTTCTACCACGGCACCAATCTTGTAGGTTGGTTAGTAGCACAGAACTCAACCATCTGTGCCACCAAGGGCTCCTTGACCCGCAGTAAACTCCGCATGTGAAGTCACTAAGGGACTGAAGCATAATTTCCCTACGTCCACAGTTAGGGTGTAACAAAACGCTATAGCCAGGCTATGTACACGAAGTGTCAACAAGCCCCTCAAGCACAAAAGACGTTCAGCGAACGGCAGCTCTTATTAGCTCATCTAATCCCCTCCTTTCACAGAGTTAAGTCCTAAAGTGGTAAAACTGGCTCTAACACGATCAATGCCGAATTTCAGGCTGGAACCTGTCCTCTCGAACCCAGGGGTGAGGGGCGCATAAAAAGCCGGCAAGGAAGAGTTAAAAGCAGCTCTGGTGTTATATGAAGACTGATGCCCGAAAGTCCAAGAAAAGACACTGAGCACTTTCTATGAGGTAAAAACACCTCCGTGGTGCACAAGTCAAGATGGTGCTCCTTGCAAGGATCCAAGTGACAAGGGTCCACGTGGCAAAGACATCCTTTCTGAATTAGCACTAGCGTGTGCTACTTCGCAACATGCCAGTTACACTTAAAATCAGGCTTTTCAGAAGTGGAAGGAACTTTCAAGATTAACCTCAGCCGAGACTCTCATGTCACAGGTAGGTAGGAAAGGTTAATGCCCAGGCTTTAGGACATCAGTAGTAGAAAGGGCACAGCTAGATGGTCCCCTCCAACACCCCCATGATTAGGCACCACTTTTGAAAGGTACAATGAAAAGGTGATCCCCCCTAGTTACGTGTAGGGGACAGTGAGGTTCAGTTGGTCCCATAAGGGGCAGACCGCAGGCATCTAAAGTGATGAAAACAACTATAAATGCATTAACCCCCAACCTCATGTGATAACACAGCCTGTATTTCCTACTACAGCAACGCAGGAAGAAAGACACATTACTAAGATGTATTATAAAAGAGAAATAGAACGAAGAACTTATTTGAATCTTTGCGGTTACTTTCCCAGAGGCACAGTGATAGACTACACATAACACATTACAAATGGTTTCATTTCCCCAGTAAGTTAATATATTGGGCAAGTCAGACTTACTGTCGCTTTAAATACTTTATCCAAGCTCACATCTTCATTATTCCATATCCTCAAAACCTTAAAATCAAAACATCACAGTCAGAAAGTATCCTACCCATCATGTAAACACATACTACGCGACATTTCCGTGCGGTATCCCATGAAACCCGTGTTCCACTGGTGGTGGCAGTCGGTGCTGTCCAGTCGGCTCTGACTTGAAGCAACCTCCTGAGACAGGGGGAACTCCCCACGGTGCGGCTTGTTCTTAGCTAAACTATTTCTTCTCAGTGAAAGCGCACCCGGTGAGCTAGGTTCCGATCAACAGTCGCTGAGCAGTGACACTGGCGACAGTTTTCAGTGGCCCTTTCTCGGCTTGTTCTGCTCCTGGTGTCCCTGCTCTCCGTGCCTTTGAGCAACGGCTGACATTCAGATGACTTTGTCAAGGAGCACTGCCCTCTCAGGCGACCCACGGTTTCCCTACCCCTTCAAGAGCCACTGGGTGAGTTTGAACTGTCAGATTTTCAAGTGGCAGTCAGGTGCTAAAGCCTTGTGTCACTGGGGCTCTCCATTCTCCATGTAAACACTCGATAAGCAGGAACAGCGAATAAACCAACATTTGGCCTATGGAAGACCCACCTTGTTATCATGGACAAGAATATACTCTCCAGTTTGAAAGTTGCACACGGCTGGACACGTTATAGTTTGACCTTGCTGCACTGACCAGCTCCCCAAGGGCTTCTGATCAGAGACCTAATGAAAGGGAAGATCAGCATTTAATACTATGAAAGCGACTGGAGGCATGAAAAGCTTGTTCAATTTACAATCGAAGTAAAAGAAGCCATTTTTAAAATGGCATTGAACACATTTTAAAAATGAGAAATAAACCCTTAAAATAACAATATAACAAAGTCCCTAAAATGAAGGGGGGGGGAACCCCAACAAATTAACAAACGACACAAACAAGCAGCACAATTTTAAATGGTTTCCACTTTGCCTTTGAAAGCCACAATAATCACCAGCCTTTTGAATGAAGAGACACTTTGGTACAAAACAGCTGGGATCCTGTCGGTTGTAATTAGCCCAAGTTTGTTTGTTGTTAAATCTGGGCACTGCACAACTGAAAACTCTAAAGACAGTTCCAGCAAAAGTCAACAGTATCATTTCATCGGGAAGTCAAAACAGGCACCAGGAGGGGGAACTGTTGCCAACTCCCCCCAGAACTTCAGAGTAGAATTGGTTCTTAAAGACTGGGCAAAAGGCATCCAGGTGGTCAGATTAAAACAACCGCTTCCTACTAGCCTCTGAAAGCAATGCTCCCTGGAAGTGTGCTGAGTCAGGTATTCTGCTGAGAAGGAGGGAGAGGTGTACAGCTGCTGAGTGACTCAGCTCCTGACTCCACAGCATGAATGAGAGGCACAAACGAAAGGCTGTCAAAGGGGGCCACAATAGTGCCCCGAGGAGGGCAGATGATGTATATAGTTGGTGTTGGGTGTCATCAAATTGGTTCCGACTAAAATCGACCCGCTATGTAACAGAACAAAAGAGGACCCAGTCCTGCACCATCCTCACAATCTCTGCTACACGTGAGCTCCTGGTTGCACCCACTGTGTCAATCCAAGCATGCTGTTCTTCTCCTCCAGGGACCGCTCCTCCTTGATAACACGCCCAATGTACCGGGAAGCCTCACTATCCTCGACTCTGAGGAGCACTCTGGCCTCACTACTTCTTCCAGGCAGATGCTTTCAGTCCATGGTATATTCAAATACCGTACTTCAAATACCTCAATCCCCAGTCTTTCTTTATTCACTGCTCCGTTTCCTCAGGCACACGAGGTAACCTAAACACCATGGCTTGGGGCAATTCCACCTTAGTCCTCAAAGTGACGCCGTGGGCTTAAATACACTTTCTTTCAAAAGGGCATGTTTTGGAATCGCGGGCACAGCGCCCGAGGGCAGTCCCAGAGAGGTATGAAACCTGCCATCTGCCTTCATTCAGATCTCTCCGATTAGGGCCATGCTAAGATTCTCTTCTGGGACCCGCTCCTACCGTAGCTCCCCACTGATGGGGTCAGGAGAGAGGAGGTCACTCCGAGGGTGCAAACAGTGACTTAGAAGTGCAAACACAGGGCTTCCAACCGGTTTCCTCCCAACCAGTCTCCACTCGGCCCTCCAGCGGGGAGCGGGGGTGACGGAGGACCCTCCCCGATCAGAGCCCAAGCACCGGCTATCTTTCCCTTCGGAGTCTAGCCCACGTGCCCTCGGGTGCTCGGTCCCACAACTCGGGAACAAGCTTCCCTTCCAGGAAGACGACCGAGAGGGATTCTGGTCCTCTTCAGCGACCCAGGCCGGCTCTCTAGACTCCCCGCCCTCCCCGAGTTGACAAAAACCCCGAGCCTACGGCTCCGCACTCAGAGGGGCAAGGGGGCAGCAGGGACGCCCCGACCCTATCGCTCTCACCTTATAGAGGACGACAGTCCTGCCACTGTCTGTCACCAGAAACTGATCGGCCTTGTCGCTCTGTTCCACGCCGAGGAGTCCGTCTGGCCCGGAGCCCAAAGGTACTCCAGGCAACGTGAATTCTTCCTCCAGGGCTGCCATCTTTGGCAAACCTAAGAGACGCGGAGCATCCTTCCCGGCAGGCCTCGCGCTTCCTCTCGCGAGAACACGAGGGCCCGTTAGGGGCGGGCACGGGCTAAATGAGAAGTGCGCTCTCGTAGCCTGCGACCCCTGGCGGGCGGAGGAGGCAAGTGGCGCGGCTGGAAACGTCGATGGGCGGGGTCTGGAGCGGGGGCGTGTTCAGGCCTCGCCTCTCCGCGAGTCCCGGATGTGCTCCTTTTTGTGGAGGGGTGGGGTGCTCTTTTCTCTACTGCGCCGAATCGAATGAGTCCGATCTACCACTTAATGAAAGTTGGGCTTGGGAAGTGGCTGAATCGAAACTACAGTTAAAATTTTCACCTTAAGTTTTCTAGGAATTCCTACCATGGCTTCGTGGGGCAGTGCCAAATTTGTTTCGTTTTTTTCTTCTTCGGGTAACAGTTTTTTCTGGGAGTGGATCTGACGCACATCAGCTACCCGATATGTTTCGGGGTACAGTTGTACTCTGTAGGATTTTCCATGGCCCCCTCCCCAACCCATCCACCCACAGGAGACTGCCAGGCCTTTCTTTTGAGGCACCTCTGGGTGGGCTCAATGTATGGATGACCAAAATCTTCCCAACTGGACCATCTTGATCAATGGAGAAAAGGTTGAAGTCGTCAAGGATTTCGTCTTGCTTGGATCCACAATCGATGCTCACAGAAGCAGCAGTCAAGAGATCAAAAGACTTACTGCCTTAGGTAACTGTGCTGCAAGGATGTCACTTTGAGGACTGAGGCGCCCCGCCCGACCCAAGCCATGGCATTTGCCATTGGTTGTACATGCAGCAGGAAAGACCACAGAAGAATCAATGCATTTCAGTTGTGGTGTTGGTGCAGAATAGTGAAAGTAGCGCTCCTTAGAAGCAAGGAGGGCAAGACTTTGTCTTCCATACTTTGGACATGTTTCAGGAGAGATCAGTCCTTGGAGAAGGACATCATGTTTGGTAAAGTGGGAGGGGTGGCAACAAAGAGAAGGGCCCTGGAATAGATGGATTGACACAGGGGCTGCATCGATAGACTCAGACATAGGAAAGTTGTTTTAAAACTCCACACCATTGTTTCGTTCGGTTGTGCATAAGGTCGCTATTGGTGGTACTGAACACCACCAACTGGCTGGACTTGAACTTCCAACCTTTCAGTTAGCAGTAGAGCTCATTAATGGTTGACACCATCCAGGGACTTTATCCTCAGATACACCCTCATTAAAGGGCTCTCTCTCTCCCTCACTACCCTGGAATCAATTCCTCCTAGTCACCCTACAGTACAGGGTAGAATTGCCTCTGTGAGTTTCTGAGACTGTAAATCTACGGAAGTAGAAAGCCCATGGATTGGCTGGTGGTTTCGAACTGCTAACCTAGAGGATCACAGCCTTACGTGTTATGACTCCACTACCAGGGCTCCCCCATGAAAGTGCTGTGCTAAGTGAAATGCCTGATTTGCCCAGCTTTTCAGACCCCACACAAAGAGCTCTTTCTTGTGGCCCTCGGGCCCCGGGCTTTGCCAAAGCCTGCCCTTGTCTCAGTACCAGCAGCAAGGTCTCTGCCAGTGAAAAAGAAATTTGGACTGATCAAACAAGGCGAAGGCCCTGGGGACACATTTTTTGGCAAGGCTTACTTTCCAGGAGGTATTTGTGCATCTGTGATCTGGAAGACCGATAAAATGAATCTTGTGAAAACTACAAATAAGGTCAATTGCTCATGTTCTTAGGGAGAAACGATCTAAACAGGCAGTTACTAAACAAACTGAAATGAAATGTACCATGTGTTAACAAAATACTTCCACTTCAGTTTAGGTTAAGCCTCCACATGGATAGTTGGGGGGGTTTAACTTTTCTTGTGGATTAGGGGACAGTGTATGGAGCATGTTTTGTGTCAGCTCCTCCATTGCCTCCCTGGATTGACCAGAGGTCAGAGGTCATCATCCCACTCCTGCCCTATGTTTCCTGTTTCCATTCCTCCTCCTTGGCTAACCCTCTGAACTTGTCCCTGGGTACAGGCTGCCCTTGGGATCTGAAATAGTTGATTATTCTAGCACGGGGATAAATTCAGTTAAGGCCTAAAGGATTACTGAGGGTCAGAGTCCTGGGGCCCCATCAGTCTCTATCCAACCTGAAAACCCTGGTCTTTCCTATGAATTTGAGTTGGGTTCCACATTTGCCCTTTCGTCTATGCCCGACCTTCTAAAGTGAGCCCTCTCAGAGCACTCGGTCCGGGTTGCTAGACACCATCTGGTTCTTCTGGTCTCAGGGTTCTGGAGGCTAAGGATGGGGAGGGACCAATTGTGGCATCTGAGATGGCTGCTTGCTTGCTTTTACAATTCTAGTTGCTACTCACCGCAGTCGGGGGTAGTTTCCGATTGTTGGTATTAGGTGGTGCCCAGTTGATGCTGACTCATCATAGGGCCCTATCTGTGTGCAACAGAATGCAACACTGCCGGGTCCTGGGCCATTCTCACCGCTGTTCTTGTTTGAGCCCATTGTCGCAGCCACTGCGACACTCTTCCTCATCACTGCCCTTCCGCTGTAGCAAGCATGATGTCCTTTCCCAGGGCTTGGTCTTTCTGATAACTTGTCCAAAGTGTGGGAGACAAAGCATTCATTCTCTTTATCCCTGAGGAGCCGGCCGGTGCATCCCTTTACTGATCTCTTGCTGAATAACAAGCTGATCCAAAACACAGCGCATTGTTTCTCATCGTTCTTTGATCCCACCTGGGCTGTTGTCAGGTGCCGTTCAGCTGGTTCTGACTCCTCGTGACCCTCCATGTTCTTAGGTTGGACCCCATGGTTCTGTGAATTACTCTTGTCAAGGGCTTTATTCTTGTTGCTGCCCTAAGGTCTGGTCTCTCCTGATACCATGTCCAAAATATGTGAGATGAAAAATTCTTCCCATTGCTCCTTCTAAGGAACATGCTAATACCCCGTTTCCCCCAAAGTAAGACATCCCCCGAAAATAAGACCTACTTACAGTTTTGCCTCTCGCTGAAATAGAAGGCATCCCCCCGAAAATAAGACCTCCCCAAAAATAAGGCCCCCTGAAGCTACCGTAACTCTGGACTCTGGACCGTAGCAGTGGGCGCTGCCTTGCAGCGCACTGTTGGCCGCAGCGCAGTTGGAGCAGACAGGAAATGCGAAGTCTCTTTTAATAAAACAATACACAATGTGTACCGTATTCTTCTTCATGGAAAAATAAGACATCCCCTGAAAATAAGACCTAGCGCATCTTTGGGAGCAAAAATTAATATGAGGCAATGGAAAATACTGTGGTCTGGCAGCTACATTGTATATCAACTTATACCTGTGTGAAGGTGGAGGGGTGGGTCTAACCCATCAACCAGGTCACAGCCTGATGATGCCTGGCGGGAGTGTGGCCTTCCTGCTTGCTGGAACTCTGTTGCTGCCTCGAGGGGCATCCTCATGTGGGCTGTAGGACCCCGAGAGCTGCATCCCCTGACATGTTTCCGCTGACCTTAGATTGCAGGACTCTGTCCCCACTGGCCTGTGATCTCTCCGCTTCCTGCTTCACCTTTCTGCATCAGCAGCCTGCAGCTCTGTGAGACTGGAGAAGGCCCCAGCTAGCATAGGACCCAGGGACTTGAGTTGGACTGGGCTACGATGCCCTTTAGATTAAAGTGACTTCTTTTTTTCATTAGATCACTTTATGACATCGAAGCATCACAGACAGGTCTAAGGAATCAATTTGCCTGTAGCTGGACACTTCTTAGATCTTACTCACGAGCCTGTTGAACGGTTCTTATTTCAGAAACATAGACACCATCCAAAATCTTTTGGATACCATTGTGTGTGTGTGTTTTTAAACTGTCATGACTTGCTGAATTAAAGCAGCTGAATTGGATACAAGTTCGAGGTCCGTCATTTCCTTCCAGCATTAACTCATCTTTCTGGGCTTGAGACCCGGAACAAGCAACACCTGTCTTCATCCGAACTCTCCGGATGTGTTTTTCACCCACAAAGTTATGGATTTCAAGACATTGATGGGAAGCGGGCCTATAGCGACCTCTTCTCATATGGGAAGCCCCCGTAGCATCCTTGATCGTGTTCTGTACATGACTACGGATCATGTAGACTGGAGCCAGTCCCCTCTGTTTCCCCACCGTTTGTCAACGTGCAGCCTTTTCTGATTCTTTCCAAGGAGACGGTTTCCATTGATGTGACTTAAGTCCCTGGGCAGAGTCCCTCTGGGGTCCTTCACCATAACTGCGCTGCCCTTCAGGGGAATGTCCACATTGTATGCGACGTCCACGGTCTTCCTTCTCGTAGTAGATGTGCCAAAGCTAAAGTCACCTCTTGACATAAGGATCCTTCTGACACATAGATCAAGGTCACTGGTTTTGTTTCTTTAGACCACCCCACCTCACACACGTGCACCTTCGTCTTCAAAGTGACCCCTTTGCTCTTCTTCACTTGGGCACATCTTGGGCCGCAGGGGTGCTGAATGCCACGTGTTGTTTCAGTCTTCACTGCTGCTTCCACGAGCATCGACTGGGATCCAAGCGAGGTGAAAACCTTGCCAACGTCAATCTTTTCTTCGTGTATCAGGAGGGTGCCGATTGGTCCACTTAGGGAGATTTGGATTTTCTTCCCGTTGACTTGTAATGCATACTGAAGACTGCAATCCTTGATCTCCATTAGGGAAGCTTCGGGCCGCCTCACTTTCAGCAGGCAAGGTTGTCATCTGCCTATCACAGGTTGTTAGTAACCCTGCAGACTAATCACTTTAGAACAATATCTACACGCAGGACATTGTCTTTCAACAATGTTATGCATTGACCTTGATGTCCTTTGAGATGGATACTCTTCTTTCTTTAAAAAAAAATCATTTTATTGGGGGCTCTGACGGCTCTTCTCACAGTCCATCCATCCATCGTGTCAAGCACACTTGTACATTTGTTGCCATCATCATTTCCAAAACATTTTCTACTTGAGCCCTTGGTATCGGCTCCTCTTTTTGCCCCCGTCCCT